TTTCTATTTTATTATCTCCCTGTTCACTTCTTCAGCCAGTGTTAATCCCCCTCTTCATGTTTTGTGCAATGTGGTATGATATGAATGAACAACTGTTGAGCGGTGAAGGAAGTACTAAGATTCTTTCCTTGCTTAAGCTTAGGAATAAACACATGAGGAACTCTAGGTTTGTTAATCTACTTTCTGAGTATTTTTTGGTCAAGGAATCTACTTTCTGAATCTTACCAACGAGATGTTTTAAAACTAGAAATGTTTTATAGTTTCATATCCATTTTAGCTAATTGTAGGATAAAGCATCCATTTTTGCAATCCTGTTTTGCATTTTGTAATTAATGGGTTTCGGTAATTCATTGAATGCCACAATGAAGGAGTACGATCCTCTTTAAATCCTTGATTGTACCTATTTTTGTCTAGTAGGTTGGAAAACCTCTTTAAATCATCAGTTATAGCATTTTTGTCAATTTGTTCCAGCTGTCTGTTGAAAAAATTGAATGCATTTTACCAATTATATCAATGAATACATGTTTTCTAGGTGAGCTCATCAGTGAGTGCTCTCTAAGCTTTCACATAGTTGAGGTGGTCTAGCATTTACTTGAGTGCTAATTGTGTATTTGAGATGAGAAGTGTAGTTATTTATCGTTTGTTTTGACTTTGCAGGTGCAGCAGTCGCTACCTATTAAGTCTCTGTCTTGTAAGTTAGTAGGGAAAAGTCCAGCCTTATCGTTGGAGGCATTCCTGAGAGACCATTATTTATCAGGAACTCCGGTGGTAATCAGAGATTCCATGGATCACTGGCCTGCTAAGAGTAAGTGGAATGACATGAATTATCTTAGAAGGGTTGCTGGCTTCCGTACAGTCCCCGTTGAGGTGATTACATTTACCACTGAACTCTATATCTGTTGCATATTCCAACATTAAATTGATCAGCAGATTTCTAACCATATCCAGAAGATAAGTCCTCTTTAAAGCAAATGACAAGAATGCAAGTCCCTTCTTCTTGAAATGTATAAAGAGAATGTATTCGTATAGCCAGTGGCGGACCCAGGATTTTCGTTCAGGGGGTTCGAAAAATAAAAGTATAAACGTGTAAATAAGCCTTTAGAAATGGAAACCTTGAATTCTTTTGGGTTTAAAACCAAACTTTTAGCACATTTTTTAAAGTAAAAAAAAACTAAAAAAAACTTGAAAAACAGAACTGAAAATTAAAAAAAAACTAAAAAAAACTGAAACTGAATAAGAAAAAAATAAAACGCTTTCACTGGGATTCGAACCGGTGACGTACAACTTAATTTCAGGGTACTTGCCACTGCACCATCAGTTTCTCTTTGTTATTGAGGGGGTTCAAAATATATATATCTACAGAAATTGAAAAACAGAACTGAAAATTAAAAAAAAAACTAAAAAAAACTGAAACTGAATAAGAAAAAAATAAAACGCTTTCACTGGGATTCGAACCGGTGACGTACAACTTAATTTCAGGGTACTTGCCACTGCACCATCAGTTTCTCTTTGTTATTGAGGGGGTTCAAAATGTATATATCTACAGAAATACAGAAAATTTACCTTATATATACTGTGTAATATTTTGCCGAGGGTGAACCCCCTGGATACCACGTGGGTCCGCCCCTGCGTATAGCATGTGAAAAGAGAATCAACGAGCTCAGGGCTTAGTTTCACAATATTGTTACCGAGTCCAAATTTATAGCTAGCTTTCCACGTTCTCAGTGGAATATGATATAAATGTTTCATATTAAAAGGGTGTCTCTTGTGTGCTATGTCAACTCTAATGCAATCAATGCATGAATTCACTCAAAACTTGATATCGACTTAAGCCATTTTCCAGGTTGGAAAGAACTATTTGTGCCCAGAATGGAAGCAAGAGCTGATCACATTCTCTGAATTTCTCGAGAGAACTCGATCCAATGATACTACCTCTGTGGAAACTACGTACTTAGCTCAGCATCAATTATTTGATCAGGTATAATTTTCCTCTACATTTATTTCTGTATATTTGTGTAAACACTTTTACCTTGAACTTATTTTTTTGGAATTAGTGGCTTAGCTCTGTAGCTAAATGACAGATACAAGAGCTACGGCAAGATATTGTTATTCCTGATTATTGTTTTACTGGAGGTGGGGAAATCAGGTCGCTTAATGCTTGGTTTGGTCCAGCCCGGACTGTGACGCCTTTGCATCATGATCCTCACCATAATATACTTGCTCAGGTACTACATACAGCCAAATAGCATACATATTTTTACAATAAGCTTCCTGAGCTTAACAAAAAGTAAATCAGGTTGAACCATAGGTGATTGCTTTGATTGATTATTTTTTAGGGGGGAAAGTTTCTGCTACTGTGTGCATGTTGATATGTTTCATTTTTATTTCTTGTGATCTTCTGCATTTCAATTTACAGGTTGTTGGCAAAAAGTATGTACGGCTTTACTCAGCGTCACTTTCGGATGAGCTTCACCCACATAGTGAAACCATGCTTAGCAATTCCAGCCAGGTATATGCTTCTCCCTTATTTTTAATTGCAGTTCACCAGAATTGTCATTTCAACGGTCTGTTGTTCAGTATTTTTAGCCTTGGTTAGTTGTTACCAACTCCATTTATGCTAGTGTCTTTGTTTTACTCGGTATAGTATTTAAAAGAAGATTTGAAAATGTTGGTTGTTAGTAATAAGTACTACTCATGTGTCGTGTTTTATGATGGTATTTGGCTAGACACGGAGTTTTAAGATGTTTATTTGACTTGCATATCAGAAAGAGTAGATTGGTGATGGTTGAAAGGTTCATATTAAAGTTTGTGTAGTTTATATACTACTAATTCTTCCTAAAAAGCTGTAGATCTTATATAGAGATGACACTGTAACAAACATTTTACAATGTTCCAACATAGGAAGTGTCATCAATTGGGAAACAGGGAGCTGATCCAACCTATTGCCTCTCTATTGCCTCTCTATCTCCACGGGTAGGGTTAAGGTTTGTGTATACTCTACCCTCCTTAGACCCCACTTGTGGGATTTCACGGGTATGTTGTTGTTGTTGGAGATGATCCAACCTATTGACTAGTGTTCTCAGAGAGCAGGACAAAGGAAAAGTCCTCCTGAAAAATGGGTTCCACAGAACATATGTAGTTTTATGAAACTGATTTTTCTTTTTAGGTTATCGAAATTTTGGGATGGCTGAAAAGGGAAGTCCGACTATACTTCTAGGACAGAGTGAATAGTGAATACTGTATCTTTTAGGGAAAAAGTAACCGATTTCTCTTTCCATTTTTACTCTGCTGCACATAACTGCACACGACAACACATATCAGGGTAGAAGAGAACTATTATATGCATCTCAAGGTTCTGCTTCTCTTACATATCTGAGGGTTCCACTTATATTATTGTACCTCTCTTTGATGAAACTTACGATATCGTTTTTCCCTTCCAATTGTATGGTTGTTGCTTACTTTAGATGGTTGATATCGCCTACAGCTTTTCGTCTGAACACATTTGAAATCTTGTTTGAAGGTTGATCTAGACAACATTGACGAGAAAGAGTTCCCAAATATATTAGACCTGGAATTCCAGGACTGTATTTTAGAGGAAGGTGAGATGCTTTACATTCCCCCTAAATGGTGGCACTACGTCCGCTCTCTCACGACAAGCTTTTCAGTTAGCTTTTGGTGGAGTGATGCTGAAAAATTAGACGACTGATCGGTCTCATCTGGTGTATACAAAGGAACCAGTTCAACCATCATTCTTCTGCAGATAGCAATGTGGACTTCACCACTACTAATGCATTAACTGTCATTGTCCAGTGTGATTGTTTCAGCTCCAAGTAGCCTTGTTGTCTTTGAGACTTTAATGATGAATTTTTCAAAGAGGTGGCAATCTTGCTTTATTACTTGAAGGTTTGTCTGATCATTATCATGAATTTGGTAAATAAGGTGAAAATGAATTTATTTTCTTATTTGGAATTGAGGTATAGTTATTGTTGTAGGATTTCGCGAGATGAAATGATAAAAAGGTTCAGAATTGTTGGTTTCACGAGTCTCATACCTTTACTGTCGTTTTTTTTATCTATCTAAACTATTGGTCTTTTGGATTAAAACAAATTTTGATGCTAAGTTGGCCAAATATTGTGCTCACTCGACAACAAGTGTCCACAAAAAATGATAGTTTTGAAACACATGCACTATCAGTCTTTTTTTGTTGTTAGAGTTTTTAGATTAGATTATAAAATAGAAATTTAATATTATCTTATCTTAATTCTTGTGTATTAGTTCATGAATTTTTGAAATATGACTGACCAATTTATTTGTCTCCAAATTTTGTGGTCCATTCATGATGATCTAGTGAATGATGCACATTATTTTTATAGAATTTTGCCATTATTTTTTTAAAGTTTTGAGGTAGCAGAATAGAAATTCATGATTATATATGTTTTTCGTGTGCATTAGTCTATAAAATTTCTAAAATATGTTTGATCGGCTCCATTTTATTCCAAATTTGGTGGGGCTATTTGTGACAACATAGTGAGCGATACACATTACTATGTAAAAGAGATAGGTTTGGGATTTTAATTTGGTATGAATTCATTTGGTTTAGTGGGTCGGATTTGGATTAAAATAGAAAATCGGGCCATTTTAATCGAAATTGGATATTTTTAGTTGAATTGGGGCTTTTCATCCAATTGAGGGTATATGTGACAAGTATAGTAAAGGTGAGGGTAAAAACAACTTCATTTTAACGGTAAGCATAAAATTAACTAATAAATGAAAGTTGAGATGTATTTTTGACCATTTTCCCAATTATTTTTAAAAAACGATATAGATAGCTTTTAATACTTAATCATCATAATTAATTAACATACATTCTCATTTCATCAAATCGATACAATAAAATTAATATGATTTAATATAAACACTCGATGAAATATGCAATAACACATGAAAAGACAAAAAGCTTCTATAGGAACTCAATTATCATCAATTAATATAATCCAACAAAGACAAAATTTCAATAGCATCTTTCATTCTCTTTTCTTCTTTCCACCATGGAAGGTGAAAAAGGTCACATAGTTCTCTTCCCTTTCATGGCACAAGGTCATATAATCCCTTTCTTAGCTTTAGCTTCAAAATTTACCCAAAAGGGTTACCAAATCACTTTCATAAACACACCATTAAACATCAAGAAACTCAAATCATCATCAAAAAACCCTTCAATTCACTTTCTTGAAATACCCTTTAACAGTACTGAACATAATCTTCCACCAGATGCTGAAATCACTGATTCTTTACCTTATAATCTTGCCCTTAAACTTCTTCAAGTTTCCCCTTCACTTGAATCTAACTTCAGATTCATTCTTACTAATCTTGTTAACCTAAAGATTGGATTTTTCAAGAAACCCCCAATTTGTGTTGTGTCAGATTTCTTTTTTGGATGGTCAGCTAAGGTAACTCATGAATTTGATATTTTACATTCTATTTTTGTTGGTGCTGGTGGTTTTGGATTAGCTTGTTATTACTCTATGTGGATGAATTTACCTCATAAACATACTGATAATCTTGAGTTTATACTGCCTGATTTTCAAGAAGCTGGAAAATTTCATGTTACACAGTTGTCACCTAGTCTTGCTATAGCTGATGGAAATGATGATTACTCAGTTTTTCAGATGAAAAATCTTCCACTTTGGAAAAACTCAGATGGGGTTTTGTTTAATACAGTTGAGGAGTTTGATAATAGTGGATTGATGTATTTTAGAAGGAAGTTATGTATACCTGTTTGGGCAATAGGACCAATACTTTATCAAGAAAATGATACTAAAACTCCTAGGAAAGAATCAGGTATTCCTTTAGTAAAATGTAAAGAATGGTTAGATAATAAGGATGAAAAATCAGTTCTTTACATATGTTTTGGTTCACAAAACACAATTTCGCCATCACAAATGATGCAACTAGCAAAAGCATTAGATGGGGTTGAAGTAAACTTCATTTGGGTGATTAGACCACCTTTAGGATTTGATGTAAATGCTGATTTCAAACCAGAAGAATGGTTACCAGAAGGGTTTATTGAGAGAAATCAAGAAAATGAACAAAGAGGACTAGTAGTGGTTAATTGGGCACCACAAGTTGAAATCTTGGCTCATGAATCAATAGGTTCATTTTTGAGTAATTGTGGTTGGAATTCAGTTCTTGAATCATTGATCAATGGGGTTCCATTAATTGGATGGCCAATGGCAGCTGATCAGTTTTTTAATGCTAAGTTTTTGGTTGAAGAAATTGGTGTTTGTGTTGAAATGGCTAGAGGGACAACATTTGATGTAAGTTATGGAGATGTAATTGAAAAGATTGAGTTAGTTATGGATAGTGAAAGTGAAAAGGGGAAAAGATTGAGGGGTAAAGCTTGTGAAGTTAAAGAAATGATTAAAGATGCTACTAGAGATGAAGATGATTACAAAGGATCTTCTGTTAGAGCTATGGATGATTTTTTTAATTTGATGATGAAAGAAAGGATTGGCTCACAATAATTGACTTTTTTTTTTTGTTAATAATAAAGAAAGAGAAATCTAGAAGAAAAGTTCAACCTCTTTCTTTACCTTTTATATATATATATATATACATAATTTTATTATTTTTGGATGTTTCAAGTTTTCTTTACTTTTTGAAAAAAGAAATGATCAAGGTTGTCGTGGGATGGATAAGATCCTATCATCTTTATTCAGGAGTCTCGAGTTCAACTATTCAAGTCTTGGATATGTGAAAATCTTAGTAGGGAGTGTTTCTCTCTTAAATGAACTTTGTGTGGCACAGAGTCTAATTAATCGTGATTTCAATGTGGATAGCGAACACTAGATTAGAATTTTCCTGCGACATGAATATTGATTAGTCAGAACTTCAAAGCGAATATCAAATGCCAGATGAGAAATCAAAAGAAAGTTTACAATATATGAAAAAGAAAATTTGTGGATGTTTTAAGAGTGTTGGAATTGAGCTTGTAACAATATATTGAGTTCATTTTTAAGTTATAGGTTTCTATTCTTTGGGATAACTTTTAAGTTCTAACTTTTAATGTTTTTTTTAAAGAAATGTTATATAACACAATGTCTACGTATAGTACAACAATTATTACCAAACTTATTTTCTAGTTAATTCTGCATATACAAGCTCGTTTTTATTATTGATTTTAAGCTTAAATAAAGGAGGACCATATGAAAACGCTCTTTAGTGGAGCTTTAACCCTACATGATCGTACCAAGAAACTATTGACTTGGCTTGGTAGGTGGGAAGTAAGTCCAAAGATCACTGATTAGTCGAATGAGTCCATTTCTTTGATCTATCATTGAGTTAATTTCTTGAATATTCACCATATTTTAAAAATTGTCTACTAAAATCACTTTTATTTCTTTTAATGACATGTCAATCAACGTAAAACCAGCAAAATTCAAGATGATAGTAATTTTCCTAGAACTAGAAGAAGAAAAAGATTAGTGAATACATGTTGAACCAATATTGAATCTCAAAAAATCAATTACAAAAAAAAAAAAAAAAACTCACCAATTTCTTAGCAGAAATAATGAATTTGGATGGTATTGTCATTGAGAGTAAAATATATACATACACTATATGAATTACATATCTCAAACAAAACAATATGCCTTCCCC